AGAGTGAGAACTTTTATCCCTAATTTGACTCATTATTATGAAGTAGAGTTTAATGACAATGCCTGCAATGGATGTGAGTTAGCTTGTGTACGCTGCCACTATTGTGTGCATGAGTTTAAATGTACATGCTATGACAATCGGATAAAGACCAATATGTGCAAGCACATCCATGCGGTAGTGAAAGTTTTCTGTATTGAAGGAGTGCCAAGATCTAATGAAGAAAATGCAAGGATTGTGCAAGATGAAATTGAAGCAATTTGTAACACAAATGATGAATGCAATGTTGGAAAACAGGTTGAAAAGATTGACATGCGGAATCCAATCGCCATGAACATCTCTCACTTACTGGATTGTTTTTCTAATACTGACCCTGTCCCTGATGCTGTAATACAAGGTGGACTGAAATTTTTGGAGGTGTTGAGGAGAGAGATGCCAAGAGATACAGAAGGAAATGAAGAAATAGTGGAAGAAGCAGAAGATGACTTGGATATAGATGAGCCACAAGAAGCATCAGGAGCAGTCATTCCTGTCACACCAAAGACTCCAAGACCCACCAGAGCAGCAAAAACCCCTCTCAGAACTCCTAAAACGCCTCGGCATATGATTACTCCTCAAGTTCAGTCACCTGGCACACCAAAGAGAGTGTCACCTCAAAGAAGGCTATTTCACTCAGTAAAGAAGAAGCCTTTGAAGAAGAAGCAGAATTTACATAAACCAACATTTCATCAAGAGGGTGCTTTTATTGCTAATTTTAGTATGGGGGAGGGGCTAGAGTTTGTTACTGTTCATAATGAGTTTGATCACAGCTACACAAGGAATAATGTTGATGATAATTACTAATGTTGCAGGAGCTGGGAGTGGTGATCCAGGTGACATGATAAGTTCGGTCTTGTTTTCATATTTTGTGTTGAAGTGCATGCAGGTTTCTCTTGTTATCTTGGTCGTTCTTATTACTTATTCCAAATTGTACTTTCCTTTCTCTCATCATGGTTTAACCTTCAATTTCCTGTATCCTTTTAATTTCCTGACATTTTTTGTACTGTTTTGGTTTGTTTTGTTTTTAGATTTTAATGAAATTGATACACACTCAGTTTGCCATGAAGTTGCCTGGGCTCCACCCAGGTGACCTGGTCTGCTGTGTGTGTGTCAATTTCCTCTCTTTTTCCCTAATTTGTTTGCATTCTTGCATGCACTTTTTTCTAGTATTTCACACTTTGACTATCATATGATTTGGTATTTCCTTGTGGTTCAGCAATCCCACTATTAATTTGCTTTTTACTTTTTGACTTCATCTGCCGAGGCATTAGTTGGCTGAGCGATAGCGAAGCCTATTACTCCAGTGATGATCAAAAAGTTTCGTGTCTGTCTGTGTGTGCGTGTGTGCGTGTGTGTGTTTGTCTGTAATCACGATAACTCGAGAACGGTTTGAGCTAGGTACATGAAATTTTTACTGTAGCCTTGTATCATAAAAAGCAAGAACTGTATTGATTTTGA